TTTTTTTTTTTTGAAGGCAATAAAATCATGGTATATTTTACTACCTCACAAGGTAGCTCAAGTGGCAAATGAGCTCTCGGGATAACCCAAGTTCGATTTCCACAAGTTACAATTCCCTTTGGGTCAGCTTCCATGCCTCCGAGAGCGAATGAGAGTTAGTAGGGTGGACCTGGACCTTTACCATTGGATCTGGGTCATCCGGGAACGAGAGCGAATGAGAGTTAGTAGGGTGGATCTGGGTCATCCGGGAGCCATGAGTGCCCCATATTAACGTAGATTCGTCATTCCCAATTCTTCGCCTAACACCACTACAAATTTGTAAATGTAGATACTTCTTTTATGCTTGTAAGCTAAGCAAGAATTCAAGGAAGTTGTCCATAATTATGCTTTTAAAAATGGAAAACATTTGAAATTTGTCAAAAATGATAAAGAAAGGTTCTTAGGTAAATGCAAAAGTGAAGGTTGTCCATGGAAAATAAGCCTTAGAAAAGTTTTTTTTTTTCTAAAATGCTTTGTCTTGGAGGATTCTGGGTATTAAGGCTAAACATGATTGTTGTGCTGGGATGTTTGAGAACCAACTAGTTAATTCTACAAAGGTAGCCAAGAGGGAGAAGAAAGAAATTCAAGCTCATGCTGAATGAAAGATGGATGAAAGTTGATGGTTTTCATGGGAAGGCTATTAAAGATGCGCTTTGGACTTGTGCTAGGGCAGGTACTATTAACCCATTCACTGCAGTATTTAGCCATCTAAATGAGTTGGATATCAAGGCTTTTGAATAGTGTTATCAGATAAACATCCCAACCACTAGTCAAAATCACATTTTTATTGTTTTACCCAATGTGACATGTTAGTGAATAATATTTGTGAATGTTTCAATACTGTTATTTTAGATGCAAGAAAAGAACCTCTCATCTCATGCCTTGAAACTATGAGAAAATTGTTGATGACAAAGCTATTTGAGAGCAGGAAAAATGCCAAGAAATGGACTTCTAACATTTGCCATAGGATTTTGGAGAAGTTGGAAGTCAATGAGAAGCAAGCTAAGCTGCAGGATATTTGGCAACCCAATATGATTTATATCAATTTGATCGAAGTTGGAGGATTGTATGTTGAAAAACAAGAAGTTGACTTAGACAAAAGGAGTTACACTTGTAGGAAATGGGAATTAACCGGTATCCCATGCAAACATGCAATTTGTGCTATTTGGCTAAAATATGGAAATGGATCAGTACATGATTATGTTCATCCATACTATTCAAGAGACACTTATCTTTAGATTTATGGAGGCTCAATTAAGCCAATGGTCGGTCCTAGCTGAACAATGACCTTTAACTGATAAGATTCCCCCTTTACCCCCACATTACAATGCTAAACCAGGGATGCCCAAAACGTTTAAGAAAAAATTAGCAGATGAGCACACAAAAGATATAGAGAAAGAGTGTCCAGAACAAATATCAAATTGCTGCGCAGAAAGTGCAAAAAACAAGGTCACAACTATAGGAGTTGTCCAGAAAATTAAAAGACTAAACAAAAACAGGTACTATTGTTTATTAATAGTTATAATCAATACTTTTACATACTTTTGTTCATTTCTTTTGTTTAAAATGCAGATGAAACCAAGGAAAAGAGTTAGGAGCAATATTCCAACAATTGATTAAGACTCAATGGTAGAACTTAAAATTATGCAGGACTCAAATGAAGATCGTGCAAACTTGATAGAGACAAATATTTTAACCCTAGGTGATATGGATTTTGAATTGTTTGGTGATTGTACCCATATTGGTGTAGACCCACTCTAACTCACAAAGGAATGATAATGATGACAAGCACAGATGTCAGCAGCTAGTACGGTCATTTAATTAGTATTTTGTTGGATTACTAGTGATATTTTTGTTTATTTTGCCAATGGATATACACCGTAAACTTGTAGTCACTTTGAGTATGCAAAAATGAATATTGTCATTTTATTTTGAAATGAATATTGCTTGTAATATTGTCAATGGATATACACTGTATATTACTAGATAGTGATATTTTTGTTGATTAAAAGGAATATTGCCTGCCATTCATATTCAAATAGCATTGTTGTTCTTTTGTGAATTTTTTCCTTAGTTACAACATAATATGATAGAAGGAAGAAGAAGAATGGGGGATGGGAAAAAGGGTAAGAGACTAAGAGGGCTGCGCAGAGGGGGGGGGGGGGGGATGAGGGTTGGGAGAAGAAAGGGTTTGGGGAGAAAAATTAGTTTTTTTTTTTGTTTTTTAATGACAATTTTGCTCTTAAATTAATTCACTCGCCGAAAAAATAGTTATCGATGGCTGGAATTTTGATATGAAGGACCAAATATGGTAGGGATTTCAAAGTCGTTGAACTAAATCTGAAAATTTTAATAGTTGAGGACCAAATGTGAAAATGGTCGCATACTCGTGAGACCAAAAGTGAAAATTTCTTGAAGGTTAATTATGGATTCTTTTAAGAATATTATTTTTTCTGAGTGTCTTTAAAAAATACTGCCAACAATATTTAAACAACCATTGAGGCCCTAATCCTTTAGGGTTTTCTTATCACATCTTTATACCCACGAAATCTCTTGGGATTAGGATTTTCTAGTCTCCATATCAAGGTATACAGATCAATTCATTCGATTTCCAGATTTTGTTTCTAATGGAATCAAGTAAGTTTTGCCTTTATTTTGTTTTAATTAAATATCCATGATGATGAATATTCTTTGGTTGATTGATTTGATTTACATGCGGTCAAATGTTGTTTATGCTTCTGCATTTAAGCTATAGCGCATTAAGGTTTTAATTAACAGGAACCACTCTTGAGAGTGAGAGATTATTGTAGTGATGTAGACAAAAATAATAAAGAATTTGTACATTTAATGATGTGTGAAACTTTTTTTTATATTTTTTGTTAGAATTGTGTTTTTTTCTTTTTCTCTCTCATCTTTTCTACTTGGACTATCAAAAACCTCAAAAGACATAGAGCCGTACAGCTTTGTACATTGACACCCACGCCCCCAAGTCAATCTTTCTTTCACACACTGTTTAGCTTTTTTGAGAATCTTGGTAACATATATATGTATAATATTAACAGGATACAGGAATAGAGGATGTCCCCTTTTCCAGTTAAAAGTGTGACACGGACGCATCATTGTGCCGTTCATCTGTGCCCGCATGTGCCCCGTGGGCCCCCTCCCCTAATATTTATATAATCTATTTAGAAAAATGTTATCTGTACTTCTACTTTATACTCGTTGATGTCGACATTTTACTGGAATTCACATGATAAAAATAGCTTATCAAAGCTAGACAGTAAAATTGAGGGAGTAAGATTTGAAAATACATGTAGGAGAACCATCTACTTATTATATGATATAAAATAAGATTTAAAATAAGTTTCAAATATAAGTTAAGGTATTAACTAAAAGTGAGACTTAACAACGGTTCCGATTCCGGTTTCAAACCGACAATTTTGGTTTCATAAATGGTCGAATTGAAATCGGAACCTTATTATATAAAGAGTAAATACCCAAAATGGTCCATCGATTATAGCTAAATTCACAAATTGGTCATCGACTTTCAATTTCAACCAATTAAGTCCTTAACTTTGTAATTTTAACACAATTTGGTCCTCTGTCTATTTGACCGTTTGTTGACTGTGATTTTTGAGGATATATATGTAATTTCATGATCTATCGTTGGTTTTTTAAGGTTCTAGTTGCATTTCCAGACCGCACTGTTACATTTGAATCCACTGCGGAAAGCAATCTACCAAATCCGGCCGCCTTTCTTCATCCTCCCTTTGGATTCAATGTAGTTGAGTTCATATCAGAGCGAAGAAGATGACATGTTTCCGAACCAGTGCAACATCATCTGGATGCCTCCACGTGCTCCGACGTGAGCTGAAGGTTCTTCTGGAGATCGTCGATCACATCCAACAAACGGTCAAATAGATGGAGGACCAAATCGTGTCAAAATTACAAAGTTAAGGACTTAATTGGTTGAAATTGAAACTCGAGGACTAATTTGTGAATTTAGCTATAGTCGAGGGACCATTTTAGATATTTACTCTTATATAAAGGTTTCGGATCTGATTCTTTAACCGCCAGTTCTAATCAGAATTTTTTCTTTTTGGTAAAATTTAATGCTCTATTTTAAAAGGGTCCAAATTCATCAATATGAATTGGTAGAATAGAAGAACAATTCAATCATAGTAATTATATCATATGTATTAAGATTTGCAATTTCCTCTATTATATTAGTTGTGATGAAATATTGAAATATTTTTAACTTAAATTGCATAAAATAAATCACAAAAATATATCGATTGCACATATTTTTCTTGTTTGATGGTTCGATTGCACACTTTTAAATTTAATGATCTAATTGCTCAAAAACAATAGGTTCAATATGACACTTTTCCTTAAATTTTTAGCCAAATTTCAAATTGGATGCAAAATTTAAAAATTTACAAAACTTTTTTCAAGTTATTAAAACATAATTTGAACAACAATATATGGTGGGTTTAATATTGGCAGTGAATCAGTGATTAATTATGACACTACAAAGTGAGCATCGTTTTTCAAGTTTAGTTGAACTTTGACTTGAAAAAAATTCAGTAAATTAGAATGACGGATTTCTTTTTAATGCTAATTGAAAATGCACAAAATTTAATAAATTACTTTTTTGTTTTAATTATTATTACGGAGTATCATTTATTTCCCTTTGCCACAAAATTTTCCAACAAGATTGTTCTTGTCTTCTTGACAAACATATTTCATAGAATTATTCTTATTAAAATTTGAAAAAGTGAAAAAACATCAATCCTCTTATAAGCATTTCAGTAGGTAATATTTGAGATAAAAGACCAAGATTCGAATCTGAGCAGCAATAATATGAGATTATATTCAAAATGGACGGATCCTTCTCGAATCACCAGAGAATATAAATTCTTAAATAATATTTAATTAACAAAGATTCTCAAATAATCATCTCACAGACAAAAGAGATCTCAAAATTAAACCAGAAATCAACAATATCATCATCATCAAACTTTGTTACAATACCAAACTCTAAGGAGTCAATTTCAATTTTCATCCCATAAAAAAGAAAAGGATTAACCTTTTTACAGTGGGTTAGAATACCTAAAAATAAGCACCACTGTAAAAAAGACAAAAAAAAATTAACCACATCTCTTTAGAACCCAGCAGAATACATTGATTTGAAATCTGCGTTCAAGGATGGTAAAAATTACCCTAGACGCTAAACCGGCCGGCCGAACATGAACCGGGCATTGCTAACTGTTAGAGAGAAGGTCAAACACGGGTCTTCTGTAGCAGGGGAGAAATGACAAGGGAAGCCGCCTCTCTACAGGAATGATCCAACGGTTCAGATATCATCTTCAAGATCTCATCCAAATCCATTCGCCCGAACCGGTTCTCGTCTCTCTGGAGCAGCCTCAGCATTCCTTGAAAAAAACCCGGTTCACACGGCAACACCAGCCCGCCGGCGCTCTGGAACCCGAACTCCTCCTCCGCCTTCTCAAGGAGCGAGATGAAGGCGGGGAGGTTGAGGAACCGGGTCGGGATCACGAAACGACGCCGTTCGTGGCCGACGTACACGGCCAGGGAACCCGACCGGATGCGACGATTCCGGCCGGCGGCGGACTCCTCGGATCCCGGAGACGATAGGACGCCCTTCACGGACTTGTTCCTCCACCGCTTCACCACTTGTTTCAGCCGTACGATTCGAGCTATCATGTTGCTCCGGTTGATCGCCATTGACCCAGAGGAATCTGCTTTTACAAATTTCAATTCAAAGTGAGAGAGAGAGAGAGAGAGAGAGAGAGAGACAGAGAGGAGAGTGAAGTATAGACTTATAGTTGAGATGCGAATAATTGGCCCACATTCCCTGGGCCCACGTCCCTACACCCGTTAATTCCTGAAAGGGCAAACTGGAGTGAAAGAGAGACCAATTTCCTTACTAGGATAGGAAAATATTAACTTTTTCTTTTGACTAGGAAAATGCCAATAACTCTTTCTTTATTTCTTAATCCTTTTTCACTCTAAAAAATGAATTATGTTATCATATTATTATATTTGTAATTTGTAATTCACTTTTTTTTTATTCTTATAATTTCAACCCACACTTATAATATAATATAAAATAATATAATAATATTATTCACAATTTTGACAAAGACCCTGTTTGGCACGCCTAGCTGAAAAGCGAGTAGCTAATAAGCTAAATAATTAAAATTAAAATGTTTGATATAATATAATTAATTGTCGAATTAACTGATAAGTGTGAAACGACATAAAATGATAAATTAAGATATTAGGGCTTTTGGTCGTGGAGGAGTTGGAGATTTGTTTTATTAATCTTATTTGCATAAACTAAACTATTTCAAAGTGCGTGTAAGAATAAAATGGTAACATATTTCAAATGCCAATTATAATGTTAAGATTGTGATTTTATTCCAATTTTATCGGATGTCCTCGAAGGGACAATAGAATACTAATTATGCCAACTTTGACGAAATGCTCTGTCGGGCCGGGGTGTGGAGGGCCCTTAGGGTTGGGGTTCAGCCTTTTGGAATAATAAGATTGTGATTTTGTGTATGCTATTTCGAGCACATTGAAAAATATGTATCCGAAATATTTAATATTAAAATGCTTATTTAAAACGATTATTCAAATCTGAGTCTTGAAACTCAAAGCGTAACAATCACAGTTTCCGATGTGTGTCGATTTTAAACTATAAAACGAAAAATTTTGTATAAAGAAAAACTCTTATTCATAGATATTGATAGATGTTATTTGTTTTTCAACAATATTAGGATTAGTATTATGACTTTTTGTATTTGAGTCACATTATGACTCTCAGTCATAGTCTTTCTATAATTCTTTTTGTATATATTTTTCCATATCTGTACAATATTCAATACAAATCATTCAAGTTATCATCTACAATACTTTTCATTTTTAAAAATAGATATTACTTTCAAAATGTAATAATATAATATAATAAAATAATTATAATAATTATTATAATTATAATTATAATAATAGTTGATGATTTTATTAGACCATAGCCCCCATAAACTGAGGTAACAGACTTAGTAGAATAAACAAGAGAAATTGGACTGTTATGAAAACCCTTTTTTTGATCAAAATTATAATACAAAATCAATGGGTTAAGACAAAAGTTTAACAAGGGTCAGGGGCAAATTATTGTGTGGACCGTAGCCCCCGGTCCAAAACGACGTCGTTTTAACTTTTTAAAAATGAGTTAATTCTATTTTTTGTCCTAGATTTATTGGTGGCAATCCACTTAAGTCCATTTTATTAGAACATTCACTTTTAGTCCTAGTATTATTGTGGCATGATCATTTTTGGTCCTTTATCAACAAAATAGTTTAAATATCGTTAAATACAAGAGCATTTCGGTCTTCAATTATGGATTTTTTTTAAAAAAAATAAACATAAATAAATATAACAGATCAACATACGTTGTATAAAAAAAGATTAAAATGTATTTGTATTTAACGACATTTCAACGATTTTGTTGAAGGATGACTAAAAATGGTTATGCCACCGTAATACTATGACTAAATGAGGATGTTCTAATAAAAAATGACTAAAAGTAGACTGTCACCTATAAATCTAGGATCAAAAATGGAATTAACTCCTAAAAAAAAATCATTTTTCAATTAACAAACTAAGATAACGTGTTAGAATAGTGAATTTTCTAGAGTAAGATAATGTATTTCATAAGTTAGAATAATATACTTTGTGTTAAATACCGAAACTTCCAGGGTAGCAATCTCCTCTTGTATTTGAATATAGGCTTTTTGTAAAATATTTCCAAATTTCCAAAACCTTGTGACAAAGAGCACCGCATAGAAGATGCGTCATGGCGGACCACGCTTTATTTCAATCGCACAAGATCTTTAATTTGTTCTTATTAGGACCCAATAATAAAGTAGAATTAGTACTAAGGATGGACATTTCAGGGTTCGGTTAAGTTTTTTTGGTTTCAGTATTTCGATATTAAAAGAATAATACCATTCGATTTAACAATATAGTTCGGTTCGATTAAAAAAAAAAAAAAAGAAGTTAGGTTTCAGTTCGAAATGATTCGGTTCGATTTAAGAATTCTAAATTTTAATATTTCCTAATTTTACACACTTGACACTACCAAACAGTACAATACATAGTAACATAGTCCAAATCCAAAGTCTAAACATTATATAACAAAACAGTTTTTTCCCAAAATGATCCCTCAACTATTGCTCATTCTCAATTTTGCATTTCGACTTTTAATTGCACCCAATGTGGTCCCTTGACTTTTAAAAACTCTCCCAAATTGGTCCTCCGTTAGAAATTCCGTCTATTGAGTGTTAAAATGAATGGCATTTTCATCCATTTACCTATTATATGCCTAATATACTCTGAAAAATAGTCAAGGGACCATTTTGGGAATAGTCGAGGGATCATTTTGAGAAAAACTCATTTATTTATTTCATTTTTGTTTATTTCCATTTCTGTAAGACTATCAAATTATAGTTTCTATACATTTTTTTTTTTTTACAAATATAAATAGTTAAAATCCACAATTAAACCTCAAAATTTTAAACTTTCTATACAAATTTGTTCCTTCTGTCTAAACATACAAACTTTTCCTCTAATCCTATCAAGTTTTACAATAAGTTCTGTAAATTTCAAAAATATAATACTCATACTTTTTATGTTCACACACACACACACTAAAACTTCAACAGACAATCAATCACTATGTATCATATTAAATATTATTTTTACCATTAAAAATAACATTACTATTTTTATCAGTTTAGACACCCAAAATGTACTCTTCACTTCTCGATCACTATGCCTTTTGAAAATAAAATTATTATTTTTACAATCAATCGCTATGCTCTGGCACTTCTTCGAACTGAGAAGTACGTGTCACTTCTCGGTCAATGACAAAATCTTAGAAAATATTTTTGAAAAGTTGGCTTAACTTAGCCCGTAAGGCCATTAGTTTCATTCCAAAGTTAGTACAAACCACAGCTACCATTTCCAAATGCCTATCTACCCAGAAGTACATCATGCTAAAGAGAGTCTAGAACTATGGCTATCAATTTTATGTCTTAAAGGACAAGTAAAATAAACCAAATGCAAAAATAATTAGCACAAAACAAACAATTCTAAACCTAAAGTCTCATCATTTACCAATATTACAAGTTCTTGTCATTTTGATGTTTGTTTGTATTTTATATATGAATGTTAATAAACTTAAATTTGAAATTTAAACTTGTTTACCATAGTACGTAAACAAATAATAATTTTATTTTAACTATAAAAATAATATTTAATGTAATACATAGTGATTGATTGTTTTTTGAAGTTTTAATATGATTATATATATATATATATATATATATATATATATATATATATATATATATATATATATATATATATATGATTATTTATGAATGTTACGAAATTTATTGTAAAACTTGATAGGGATAGGGGAAAAATTTGTACGTTTAGACAAAAGGAAAAAAATGGTAGAGAACGTTTAAAATTTTAATTTGAAATTTGATTGTGGATTTTAACTATTTATATTTGTAAGAAAAAAAATGTATAGAAATTCTAATTTGATAGTGTTAAAAAATGGAAATAAATAAATGAGTTTTTCTCAAAATGATCCCTCGACTATTCCCAAAATGATCCCTCGACTATTTTTCAGAGTATATTAGGCATATAATAGGTGAATGGACAAAAATGCCCTTCATTTTAACACTCAATAGATGAAATTTCTAACGGAGGACCAATTTGGGAGAATTTTTAAAAGTCAAGTGACCACATTGGGTGCAATTAAAAGTCGAAATGCAAAATTGAGAATAAGCCATAGTCGAGGGACCATTTTGGAAAAAAACTCTATAACAAAATAACAATCCAAAGTTCAAACACACTACTAATTACCAAACATGACTTTTTTGTACAACCGACTCTTCAGTTGGCTTATCATCTGTATAGTTAATTTTTGGATACAATCTGTTATTGCTAGTGCACTGGAATATTATTTTCTAGTGCACTATAAATATAGTATAGTACTAGAAAATAATTCCAATACACTGGAAATCAAATTAGAATAATGTTAAAGCATATTAATTTCATAGAAACATGATTTTAAAAAAAAATACTGAATATTGTAAGAATAACTCACGTTAAATATAATTGTGAAGTAAAGAACAATTGCGACAAACAACAAAAGTACAAAGTAAAAAACAAGCCATAAAAAATCAAATAAAAAACTTAAAAATAAGAATTGAACGGCAGGCCAAGCATCAAAGGACTTAAATGTACTCTTATTATTATAATTATAATTATAATTATAATAATAATAATAATTATTATTATTATTAAAAAATCAAATAGTATTCTGTTCAATTCAGTTTTACCAAATCACTCAGTTCAATTTGATTTTTAATCAAACCGTTCAATTTACAAAAATTACAAACCATTCAATTTTTCGATATATTACTAGTTCAGTTCCGTAAGACCAAACCGAATTGCCTACCCTAAGAATTACTATTGCAGTTAGAATAATTGTTTTGGATTTAGTTTTATTCTTCTTTTTATAATCTAATCTAATTTATACCTTCTTTAAAAAAAAAAAAAAAATAGTAATCTAATCAAATTTGAAGCTAGGAATTGATTTCCAATTAGAATAAGTTCTCAATCAACCAAATAAGGTAAGATCTATTTTTGCTCAAATTTGAAAAATAAACTTTCCCAAAAACTTATTAAAGAAAGAACAAAAGAGCAAACCTATGAAATACATAGCTATGCTGTAAACCTCATAAATGAGC